CGGCTCTTTCTCTCACGCTGCCGCCCCCGCTTCGGGCTCGGAGGTTGGCCCCTCCTTCCGGCCACTCGCTTCCGGTTGTTCGTAGGAGGCGGGCGCCGCGGTGTGCCCCTGCTCCGCCTGACCAGCGCCGGTTGTCGCAACGGCCCCCCAGCTTTGACGGCGCTGCGGCGCCGTTGCCAGTGTTAGTCGGAAACTGCGGCGTCCTTTGCAGTGCTCTCTGTGTGCCCCGCTGCTTCTCCTTTTCACGGCTTGCCGGTGCGCTAGCGGCAGCACCTTCTTGTGGGCCGGCTGGGGTCCCTGCGGTGTCGGGCTCTTTGGTGTCTTTGTCAACCTTCTCGGTGGGCTCTCCAGCCTGGCGGCCGGCAGCGCCACCGCCACCTGCAGGCGAAGACCATTCAGTTGTTTTTGCTGCACCTCCATCTGGTGTGTTTTACTCGTGGCATGCGGCTGGCCTGCAATTTCACCGCTCTGCAAATCTGCGTCGTTGCTCAGCTTATTTTGAGTGCCCTCCGTGTGCGGTTGTGGGTGTAAAGGGTTGCCTTGGTGTCTCTGCTCTGGGTCTCCTTCCGCTGCCTGTTTCTCATGCGGCCCTTTTCCGGCACGTGCGATGGGCGCTGCGTTGCGGAACCGTTGTCGTCTGCCAAGTGCCCCTCCTTCCCTGCATTGGTTTCTCCTTGACTGACATCAGTCGAGGATCCGCGCCCTTCTTCTGGTCGGCTCGGCAGTGGTGGCTGTTCTTCTTCTGGTGATGAAGGCAAGCTTCCTCGCCGCGGTGGTATTTCTGCTCTCTTCGTGCGTTCCGGTTCCGCCAATTCTGCAGGACCGTGCTCTGATTGATCCCTGGTGCTATCCGCGTCACCTGGCGGACCGTCTTTTCCCTCCCTTTCTCCCCTGCCGTTGGCTGTTGGCTTTGGCGGTGGCGGCGTTTCTGAATATGGTGGTGAATGCGTTTGCCCCACTCCACCATATTGCGTCTTTCGATTGCCCAGCGGCGGGGTGTGGCTTGTCCCTCCCGATCCCTTCGCAGGAGGCCCTTCATCCGTTGCTTTCCCGTTCTTGCCGTCGTCTGTCAAAAGATCACCTTCATTTACATCCGTATCTTCCTCACCGCTCGCCCCGTTCCCATCTCTCGCGTTCGTCTCCTCCTCTTCTCCTTCGCCTTCGTCTTTCTGCACACTCGCCCGCATCCCTCCCAGAGGCTCCGGCTTGTGGCTGCAGTGCTTTCCCTCAACCTCCGCCTCCGTCATGTCCTCCGCGACGACCCGCAAGTCCTTCCAGTCACTCTCCGTGCAGTAGCCGCTGCCCCACGCACCGGCACCGCCGGCGGCGCAGCACAGCACGCAGAGGGCGCACACCAACAGCACACGGCCAGCCATCCTCAGTCTTGCCACCGAAGCACACACACGCACAATCCAGCAAGGGGCAGAGAGAGAAAGAAAGAAAGGAGGGTGAGAGTGACACACACACACCAGGAAGAGGAGGGTTGTGCCCGCCAGCATGGGAGACGCCTGCGCACGGCGCGGAAAAGCCACAAAACAGCACCGGGCACCGCTCCTGAAGGACGCCGCCGCAAAAAAAAAATAACCCTCAGCCGGTGTAAAACAAAAATTCCCCCCACCGGGCCGCATTCCCAACCACACACAAAAAGAGAGAAACAGTGGCCGACGCCGCCCACACACCAACACACACGGCAATCCACGGCGGCAGTGGCATCTGAAGCCGCCACCCGTCATCGCTGCACGCCTTGCCTCGCCGCATGCCCCCCCTTCTTCGCCGCATGCCGCCCCTTCTTCGCCGCAGGGCATCTCCACCTCCGCCCTTTCGGCGCCCAAACGGCGACGCCATCAACGCCCCTCA